TGGTGTTGGAGAGGTGGTAATGGTAGGGTGATGGTGATAGCGATGGTGGGGGGATGGGGGTGGTGATGGTGATGGTGGAAGACCAGTTGGAGATAATTACTGTTGTCTAGGCAAAAAAAAAGGGGGGGGTTTAAATTCAGGCACTAGTAACAGGAATAAAGAGAAGTAAATAAAGAATGGATTTAGAAGAAATTTAAGAAGAAAAATGAACAAAACATTGTGAGCACTAAGTATACTTGATAAGAATTTAGGCTCTTAGGCTCTGATTAAAGAGATAAATTAAACTAAATAATATGCTATATATAGCCAGGCTCGGTGGCTCAGCCTATAATCCCGTGCTTTGGGAGGCTGAGGTGAGTGGATTGCCTGAGCCTGCGGGTTCGAGACCCACCTGGACAACTTGGTGAGACCTCATCTCTACAATAAATCAAAAAAAATCAGCCGGGCATGGTAGCGCGTGCCTGTAATTCTGGCTACTCAGAAGACTGAGGCGGAAGGATCGCCGGAGCCCAGCAGGTTGAGGCTGCAATGGCCGGGAGTGGCCACTGCACTCCAGTCTGGGTGACAGAGTAAGACTCCAACTCAAAATAATAATAATAATAATAATATGCTATATATATAGCAGTTATTAGCCATAGTGATGATGATGGCGGTGGCGGTGGTGGTGATAGTCGTGATGCTGGTGGTGATGAAGTTGGTGGTGATAGTTGTGGTGGTGGTGATGGTGGTGGGAGTGATGGCAGTGGTGGTGGTGGCAATGGTGATGGTGGGGGTGATGGTGGTGGTGGTGATGGCATAATGGCAGAGTGGTGATGGCGGGTGATGACGGAGGTGAAGGTGGTGGTGATGGTGGGGATGATGGTGGTGATGATGGTAGTGGTGGTAATGGCCGTAATGGTGATGGTGGTGGTGGTGATGGTGGTAGTGGCTGTGGTGATGGCAGTGGTGGTGGTAATGGTGGTGGGGAAGGCAGTGGTGATGGCAGTGATGGTGGTGGAGTTGGTGATGGTGATGTCAAGGTGGCAGTGGTGATGGTGGGGGTGATGGTGGTAATGGTGGTGATGGCAGTGGTGGTGAGGGTGGGATGATGGTGGTGGTGGCAGCAGTGGTGATGGTAGGAGTGTTGGTGGTGGTGGTGATGGTGGGGGTGGTGGCGGTGGCGATGATGATGATGATGATGGTGATCGTGATTATGATGGAGTGATTGTGGTATAGTGGCCAATTAAATGTGAAAAGAGAGTTGAGGAGAAACCTAGAATGACTTATTGTTGTTGTTTTTTTTTTTTGCTAGACATCTATATAGAGGGACTTAGCATCATTTACAAAAAGGTATGATACGAAAACAGCTGGAGTAAAAATGGGGTATAATTTTAATTTAGAGATGTTAAGATTGAAGCAACTGTTGCATCTTTGAGGACCTAGAGACTGGATCTGGAATTCTAGAGAGAGGTCTGGGCCAAAGCAATTGATTTAGTGGTGTTCAGCATACCACTGAGTTGGCCAAAATGTCCTTGAGAGAGAACAAAGGAGATTCAGGACAGTTTCAGAGTGGAAAGCAGAAGGGAGCTAACTAAGACAGGTAGGAAGATTGCCAGGTATAAGAGCTCAGCTAGGACTGAAGACATTGACTTTGTAATGACACAAATTCATAAAGTTGAACTTTTATTTTAAGAAGTGTACAGTAGGCTGGTCAGAAGATCAAAAAAAGTCTGTGGTTGAGTTGTTCCACTCCAAGGGGCTGGGTGAGAGATTGGTGGAATATTAAGAGCAGGTGTCCAGGAAGCAGCTGATGTGATAGGTTAGGACATCTGGACTATTTGAGAAGGAAATTAAGCCAAGGCTATGCCAACTGGGGGAAAAGGTAAGAGTTCAGAAGCTGAAGTCAAAGAATTGGTTACCTGGAGAAAGAAGAAGAGAGCAGGAAGATTAGCAGCCCAGCCTGAGACAGTTTGTATGGGTGTGAGATTTCAGAAGTAGAAGGGGGGACTAGTGGGGATGGGGCATCTGCTCATATATATAAAAGTTTGTCCTATGACATAGTGGTGATTAAAAATGGGAGGTATCCTGAAGAGTCAATATTTATATCTGTACCTTTGATAAACAAGTTTGGGAAAGTTCAGTATTCATTTTAAAAAGGTGGGAGGAGGTGAGGGGCACAGATATTAATAGGTGCTTCCCAGAACAAATTCAGTTCTAATCAAGACTTGATCATTTCCTTGACTATAAAATCTGCAACTCTAACATGCCAAACTGTTGGCACATATAATTTCAAAGCAAACATTTTTCTATCTATAAAGAAGGCGGATTAGACAAACACTGCATACATTTTTTTAAGGTGTTTCTTTTTATGTCAATACATATTCAATTCCCTTTGAAAAAGCTGTAATAAATGAATAAGGACACTAACAAATAAGATGAACACATAAATATGGAGGCTGAAACTGCCTACAACCTGAACCTGAAGATAAATTGTATCTAAGTTATTAGGTATATTTCATTTGACATCCTTTTTCAGCTTAAAAACTTAACTCAGTGTGGTCTAGACAGAAAGTGGGCAATTACAGTTTCTAAAAGACCTTAATTGGCTCCCAGAAAAAGGAAGACAAGCTGAGGGAATCTGGCTTATTCTATTAGGCTCATTAGATTGGCTTCAAGAAAGATGCCCAAATTATAATTCTTCTCAATCTTGGCTGCTCACATAAAATGAAATAGCATGGAGAGCCCTCAAACACTACTAATGTCTGGGATCTACCTCAAACCTATTAATTCAGAATGTCTGGGATTTGGAGATTGATATTTTGAAATCTCTCCAGATGATTATTTTATGCAGCTAGGGCTGGGGACTTCAGCCACCAAGAAACAAATATGATGCTAAAATTTTCTGTTAGACCTAAATAACTCTGCATGTATAGAAGCAGCATCTTTAGCTTGTGATGGGAAAACAAGTGCTTGAACAAAATAAATCAAAAAGCAACTTCAAAGAGAAATATGTACTTTCCAGGGTGCTGAACACTTACGGGCAAGAGTTTTTCGTGGGGCAATAGTTCTATCCAGTGGAAAAAAAGTTATGAGAAAAGATTTGTTTAAAACAAAAAATGTATTAAGAGTTCATTGCACATCAGGGCTGTTAAGGACTTAACATATAGGATCTGTGAAAGTTGTCAGAATCAAAATGGAGTTGCCGATAAGTATCCCTGACAAATATAGCCAAGGAAGGTCATGAAGAGAGGGTTCTCACAAATCACTCTATAAAAAAGATACCTGCACACGTATGTTTATCGCAGCGTTGTTCACAATAGCAAAAACCTGGAAACAACCATGCTGCCCATCAAAAGAGGACTGGATTAAAAAAATGTGGCACATATACACGATGGAATACTATGCAGCCATAAAAAAGAACAAAATCATGAATTTCGCAGCAACCTGGATGGAACTAGAGTCTATAATACTGAGTGACCTCTCACAGAAACAAAGATCCGAGTATCACATGTTCTCACTCATATAATGGACCTTGAACATCCAATGTAATACTATAAGAAAATGACTGACGGTACTGGGAAACTATGGGGGGGAGGGGGATGGGATTAACAGTAGCAAATATCTGTCTGGGGATGGGAAAGCACCTCTTATCAACAGGGTGCCTGAATGAAACGTAATTGTACACCTAACCCTTAACTGTACCCCACAAAACCATAATAAAAAATATTGATTAATAAAAAAAAAAGAGAGGGTTCTCATACTTGTATAGCTGATATGAAAAAGACTCTGCAAAATACACAACTTAGTTCAAAGGCTATCACAACCTTACACAAAAAATTTTTCTGCAAGGACATCTACCAAGAAACTACCTATCAACCTTGAACTGGCATCACCTTTGTTATTGATCTTTGTTGCCAAGGATAATTATTTCAAAAATAATTATGTAATCCTCATTAATATTTCCTTTAAAAACCTTTGTCTTCCTTTACCTCCATGAAAGTGCACACAGTTTACTATGGCATGTGTATTCCCATTGCAATGCCCTATTCCCAAATAAACATTATTGTTTTTTAGCGAGACTCTCTCTGTTTGTTATTTAGGGTGACAGATCTTATATAATTTTTTTGACAACCTCAAGTAGGGAGATAATTAATATCCCAATTTTAAGACAGAAAACTGACTCATAGAGAGATGTACAGGTTGATACAGTTAGTAAATAATAGTATTGAGTTCATAATCTAGAGTTCCACTGCTAAACTGTTATGCTTTATTGAACGATTAAAGCTCCTTTCTTTAACTGAATAAAAACACTTTCTCTTTAAGCTGAAACTTATGCCTGGATGTTGGATCACAAGACTTGCTACTAATAAAATAAACTGCAAGCAATGAGAAAAAAATTTTTAATGGTTATCCACTTAAAAGCATTGACAAATACTTGAATGCTAAATAATTTAAACAAATAAATTATTTAGATAAATACATTATTTAGATAAATTAAATAATTTATATAAAGATGGAATGTGGAAAATAGAGTGTGGAAAATTACATATAAATCAGAAGCCTGGTTTATAGCTACTGTCGTGGCATCTCTCCAAGAAGCTCATGTTGATAATCAGTGGAGAATTAAATGCAAAAATGCCTCGTAAAAAGCACCATACAAACTATTATTAATTTCAGGTTTTTTCTTAAATTTAATGCCACTGAAGTAATCCAGGCTACCATTTTCTAATAATTTTTCTTTTAATTTGGTTCTTCAATTTGCTTCTGCTCAATGCCTAAAATAATATAGTGCATATCGACCAATCAGAAAACAAAGATGAGAACAGGAGAAACAAGTATTCAGTCAAAATTGTGACTTTGATGAACACTGGGAGGACTTGTCTTTTTGTCTTACAGATTATACATAAAAGCCAAAGGAGATGTAAAATGCCATAAAAGCACAAGCTTAGAATGTCTGACTTCCTGAATTAATTAAAGCCAGAATTTTATAAAGTTGTAGATTAAGGAAACATACCCAATACCTTACATATGCCATTAATACAGACATTTCTGCTGTTGCCACCTTCAAAGCAAGGGGTACCATCAATGACAGCATCCAGCATTTTCTCAGAAAACTGGCCATCTATGGGTCGGCAGTAGAGCTCACAAGGATGTGCTGAAGCAAAAAAGAAAGAAAAGTCATTGTAAGTTAGCTCAGCAGGCTCCCCCCAGGGTTGCTTTGTGCTTATGGTCCCCAAATGCTGTTTAATCTGATGATTCCATCTTTTACTCTTCTGAGACACATGCTGAAATGTAGGCTTTTTCTTTCTTTCAATTAAAAAGTTTTATAATGAATTAAATTGGGAAGATTGCTTTAAAATGCTATGCCCTTTGTTATAAATGATGAGTCCTTTTAATTCAACATCGAATTGCGCTTGTAAACATAAAGTACTGAACATCAACTTAGAAAATAAATTTTTACAACAAGCCATGCAGGACTTCAGGCAGGCAGAATGCCTGCTTGTTGTTTTAAGGTAAATAGCCTTCCAGGGGAGAGCAGTCCTCTCCAACAAGGTCAGTTTATTACTACCACCACTATCAACATCGCTACCAGCATAACCCTGCTCCCAACAAATATTTTCCCTTATTCTCCTCCAGTCCAAGAGGTGCTTGGACACAGATTGACAACCACGTAGAAACACAAGACCCGCTTTTTTTTTTTTTTTTTTTTTTTGCTGAAGCTGAAGCCCATCTACTTATCATAATGGTCCAACTCATTATCTTCTAAGTGAATTCATTTTAATAACGTTCAGTTTTCTACACTCTTGTGAATGAACATAGTGTGATCTATAGCACAGAAAATTTTACTTAATAAAATACACACCTATATATATGTACACAGAAAACCAGAAAGATAATTTTTAAAACATAAATTGAATTAATAATTTTTTTTTTTGAGTTGGGGTCTCACTCTGTCACCCAGACTGGAGTGCAGAGGCACACTCCCGGCCACCACAGCCTCGACCTGCTGGGCTCCGGCGATCCTTCCGCCTCAGCCTTCCAAGTAGCTGGAACTACAGGCACGCACTATCACACCCAGCTAATTTTTTGATTTATTGTAGAGATGAGGTCTCACCAAGTTGCCCAGAGGAGTCTCAAACCCGCGGACTCAGGCAATCCACTCAACTCAGCCTCCCAAAGTGCGGGATTACAGGCTGAGCCACCGAGCCCGGCTGAATTAATAATTTTAATAGGTAGTACATGTATATGGTAAAAAGAATTCAAATAATAATCTTTTTTAATGTTATATATTGCTTTTCTTTAAGTGAAAAACTCAAGAATATCTTCTTCAGAAGGGACTTTTTTGGGGGGATCTTTTCTAGATTTGTTTATTGTGGGCAGGGCTGTTAGTTTCTTGATGGTATGATCAGCTGAGAGCTCAATGATACAGCCATAGGCTATAAGGTCATTTGTCATGGGCCCACTTCAGTGTGGACGGGCACCAGATGCAAAGCCGGAGTGCACAATGACATCTATGTCTCCTGGAGAATGCAATGATCCATGTGGAGAGAAAATAAAAGTGCAAAACTCAGATACACATAACTAAGAGCAAAATTCCTAAACACTAAAACTTTAGACAAACACTTAAAAAAAAAAAGTCTGTCCAAAACTTAGAGGAAGAGAGGTAAAAGCAAATAAAGAATGCCAACTGATTTTGTATAAGGTGCAATAGATAAGTTGTCTGAGTAGAGTCAAAATGAATTGAAGAGATCACTGGACAAAATGCCAATGAAAAAGTGTCAAAAGATTTTGGGGACAAACCACAACTAGGATTACTGTGTATCTCCATTCCTGGCAGCATGATTAGCATCATCAATGCCCAAATTGTAATGAAAGTACCTAGAGGGAACCACCCGGGAGCAATTCTGTTTTCCTAGGGATCAGAACATCAATCTAGGTGCTGAATCCTGGGAACAATTTTATTAAGACTTTGATTTGGGCTTTAGAATTAGGATATAATTTTTTCATTTGTACATATAAAACAAAAAAATAAAGCAGCCCTGAAGAATTCTGAAGCTTTTCTAAAGGAATTATCTGTTTCAAGGATGCTGGGAAGGGCTGAGACTAGAAGGTGTTCATTGCAGCAATGAAATGCAGAGAGAAATGGACAAACTAATTAAGTCACATTTACATAATGAAATGCTATGCAGTCACTGAAAGGCTTGAGGTAAACCATGATGCCCTAGTCTACTTTCCACTGAATCAAGAAAGATGCAGAATCAGAAAAGTATGATTCTATTTGTGTGTAAACAAAAACCTGCTGTTCGCAATGTTACCTCTGAGAAACACATTAAATGTAGTGGGATGATATTAATTTATTTTTACTTCATTCTATTAGGTACAATTGCATTTTTTCAAGACATATATTCCTTTTAAAAATAATAAGTCTTGGCCCTCAGACAAGAAAACTGGAAGTGTCTCCTTTCCCCCTCTCATGATCATGACACATCTCCATGATCATGAGAGAGAGGACTTATTTCAAAACTTCCCTCCATCCTGTTTTCATAATACATGCTTCAAGGTTAGACAGGCTGACCAAAGTACACTGTCTGTAAGAAACACAAATGTCTGTTGAACATAAGTGAATACCTATGACATCTTATATCTAGAAATAACCTTTGTGACAACAACAATAACAGCACGTAGACCCTCTGCTGTGACACTCCCAGAGTTCCCACCATGATGACCTATAGGTGTGCCTTAGGCCAGAGAGAACCCTGTGCTTGAAGGCAGCCACTCAAATTGAAGACGATATGCTATTAAAGCTGTTTATGAGGCCGACTCTGAAGTCCTGCTTCCTTGTCTCCTCCTTTTTTGGCCTTTGTCTTTCATGGTACTCTAGAGAGGCTCTGGGTATGTCATTAGGTTGACCTGTGATAAAAGGATCTGCAAGAGGAAGTAGGGGTGGAAATAGATAGTCTTAATTCTCAACAATCATCCTGGGCATCACAGATTCTCTGACTCAGACATCAACGTTGTAGGGTCCATCGTGTCTATAGAGCTGAGTACTTTCATTGTCTCACATTTATTCACCTGCCCTGACACATTCTTTTGTCTGGGTCATATGATATTTTCCCCCTCTAACTTTCAAGAGTTTTCCAGTCCATTTATAATTCAGCTAAGTGAAAGCTCTACAACTAATTTACTGGTGAACTCTCACCCTCACACTGTCTGATTAATCCTCTCAAAGGGAGCTTAGGAAACAGGATGGATTTACTAAATCAAATGTTGGATTTTCAATTCTGTTCAAACAGGATGGCTCAACATTTTTGGATAATGATCTTAAGAAGTGATGGTTAGAAATGAAAGCTCAAACTTGCCAAGAAGGATAAAAATACTTCCCAGGCTAAGGAAGAGTTTTGACAAATTTCACTTTTTGTGAGTAGATTTCAATGTGAGTTTTGCCATTTTAAAGGATCCAGTTTCTACAGGCCGGGTGTGGTGGTTCACCCCTGTAATCCCAGCACTTTAGGAGGCCAAGGTGGGTGGACTGCTTGAGCCCAGGAGTTCAAGACCAGCCTGGGTAATGTAGAAGGATCTCCTGAGTTCAGGAAGTCAAGGTTGCTGTGAGCCATGACTGTTGTAATCATGCCACTGCACTCCAGCCTGGGCAACAGAGTGAGACCCTGACTCAAAAAATAAAGAACTCAGTTTCTAAAATCCATTTACAGACAAGGCCTCATAGGCACCAGATGTGTGCTGTCACTTAGGACTCCACATTGGGTTGACAGCTCTGTTAATCACTATCTTGAAATTTTTAATCATTTTATCTTTGAACTTATGCTCATAAATGAAGTCCAATGGGACAATAAGGCATGTACATGAACAGAAGGGATCTGCAGTATGCTCTCCTGCTGTTCTTCACCAGATTCCAATATATTCTAAGTCTCAAGTAAAAGGCATAACTTAAAATGTTTTATTGATATGACAAGTTATGTTTTAAATTAAAAAGGAATCACTCATAAGCAGACTCTGAACATTTACCATAATACTGTAAGAAAAGGATTGGCAGTAGCAGGTAACTGCCAGGGTGGGGGTGGGTCACAACATCAATAAGCATATCTAATCTCAAACCAGGCAAAGTGGGGACAAAAGGGAGGCTCAAACTTTACCTGTAGGATGTCTACTTGTGTACCTAATCCTGAATTGTACCCCACATCTTTAAAATAAAATATAAAAATAAATAAATAAATAATTGATCTACTTATAAAAAGTTTAAAAGGAAGCTTAGCTTAAGACAAGGATATGATCAACTTAAGGGAAAAATTAAAAATGAAAACTCCTGACCCTGTATCACAACTAAAAAATAGTCACGTAATTACCAAGACTCTGCAACTTTGGTTAGTCTAAAACAGTATTCTTTTACATTCCAATACAGTAATATTAATTCCTATAATATATAAAAAATATATACTAAACATAAGAAGGCATTAAAATGAATATATTCTATAATAACCATAGAAAGGTATAAAAACAAGCACATAAATAATTTTTTAATGAATTAAACCCATGTCATTGATGTTTTAGATTAGGTTAGTACAGTAATAAGTTTTCTATTTGTTGTATGTTTTTAAGTTCTGTCTTTTGGCTAAGACATTTAAGAACTATGGCACTAAACTTAGAATCACAACTTATTTGTTTAAGAAATATAATAATTATCTTTTATCAATTCTTAAATATTTATAAAACACTGGTTTTCAAGAGAAAGATTTATAAGTTCATAAGTTTAATAAACTGAGGCTTAATACAAAGAGTTGTTGGGGCTTCCACCAGAGTTTCTGGGCCATGAAATAGTCTAAGTTTTTTAAAAATGTGAACATCATCTTAGAGAAACTTCAAAATTAAGTGAATTGTTCTTAATGAAATGGCTGAACCCAGTACCTGCTTTAGTGCTTAATATTTAGGCTGCAGAGTCAGGACTAGCCTAACTCTTGGTTCTATCACATAGTCTGAGTTTGGACAAGTTACTTAGGTTCTCCGAACCTATTAGCTCATCTCTAAAAATTGGGTCAAAAACTTAGCTTTTCTTGAAAAATTTTCCTGTGGAGATAAAATTGGAAAAATGTATATAAAGTTCTTCAAGAAGCGCCTGGCACAGAGCAAGTACTGATATAAGTTTAAAATAAGCTATTGGAAAATATTGCTGTTCCTTGCCTTAAATGGGCAGGAGTTTATTTTTTTCTCATATAACAAGAACCCAGAGGTAGGAGTCTAAGGCTATCCTCTTTTATCTTCCTGCTTAGCCGTCTTAGCAAGGGACTTTCAACTTCATGGTTGCGGGAGACTGCCGCCCCCTCAGGCAGTAGGAAGGGGAAGGATGAAGGCAGGCCGGGAGCTAGGGACAAGCCCAGTGGGTACCAATTACAAACTTTCCCAGAAGCCTTTTCCAGCAAGACTTCCATCTCTATCTCTGGCCATTCAGAGTCTGCAGAGAGAATACAGGTTGATGAGTCTTAGTTTCCCCTCTTCTGTTGCAGAGAAAAGTGAGGGCAAAGAGGGTTGTGAACAGCTTGGGAGGTCTGCAAATATCATCATCATTACATCATTATTCCATCACTTCCTTCCTTGAAGCCACAGAATTCTAAGTTATGAAATGAGAAGTTTGTCTAGAATATCTCTCAGGTTGCTCCCCCACACTTACATTATTCTTTCAAAGGCTGTTTCTATCTAAACCCCAAATATTTTTACACTATGTGTACCACCCAGGTCACTCCCAGGTGTTGGAACACAGCCTTCCAGCTCCCAGGAGGACTGCTAGTATTAGTCCTCAGTTGTTGCCTTGATGGAAGAGAGCTTCCTTGTCCAAGGATACACATCCCTTTTTGGACAGATCACACCCAGTGACTGTGCTGCGTAGAATATACAGACCTGGTTCTCCCACCACAACTATGGTAACTCTGAAGGTCCATTCTGGGTACAGAGCTCCCGTAGGGTCCAATGACTCCATAGCTGGAACTGCACTGCAGCCCAGCTTCTCCCTTGCTCAATTCCACTTCTTTCCTTTCTCTTCCCTTCCACAGCTGTTGAATTTCCCACATGCCAGTATCTGTCTTCAAATCTGCTTCTAGGGAACTGAATCTCCATCAATTCCTTGAAGATATCTTGAAAGATCCTATCTCACAAGGTCTCTTGAAGAGCAAATGTTGTAACCTTGTTTCAGGCCCTCCACATCTGATACATGCTGGAAAACTTCACTAGAATCAAGCACTAATAGGGCTTAAATATTTAAGAGCAACAATAAAAAAAATTAGACTAAATGAAGGACTATTTGGGTGTTTCGAGAAGGAAAAAAATCTAAGAAGTTAGATGTGATGATATCGATATTGATATCAGACTCTGATCATTGCTTCATCTCCCCATAGAAGATGCAGGAAGTAAACAATTTTTTTTTTTTTTTACCCTGGGCTAACAAAGTCCTTAAGAGCCCACACAAGTTAGTTTAAAACACACACACACACACACACACACACACACACACACACACACACACACACACAAAACCAGTGTCTTAGTAAAACAGATTTGTACTTCAATTCTAGCTCCATTATTTATAATCTTGTAGCCTAGAATAAGTGACTGTCCCCTCTGAGACTCAGTTTCTTCATCTCTAAAGGATGGGGAGGGGGACAGTGAGATCATGAATATAGAAGCTATTTATAGTGGATCTTGCATGGCAGCTTATCCCATGGGTACCTACATGAATGTGATCAAGTGGAGTTGGATAAAATTTAAAATCAGGAATGCTGTGAAGAAAATGCTTGTATTGGAAAGTAGGTTGATCTAGGTTAGTAGGTTTCAAACTTTTTAAACAGGGAATTGTTTGTCCTTTTTCAAATGAAAAGTAAATAAAGCAGATAGATATAAGAATTTAATTAGGTATAAATTTTGTAAGTTCAAGTATGCGACAGTTCAAAATAAGTTTGGGAGATCTATAGAGACCACTGAGATGAATAGAAAATTTTGAAATCAGGCTTATAGATGGCACTTATAGACATTATTTGTAGCTTTTCTTCTTTGGGTTTTTGGTTGCACAGTGTTGAAAAAATCCTGATTTCTACAGACAAGAAGTTGCAAATAATAACAATTTAGAACAACTCAATCGGCAGTCTTGGGGTATTTGAGTTAGGAGGAGACTTTTATTCTAAGGCCTGTAGAAAACCAAATTAATTTGCCTAAGTTAATGCATTGGTTGTCTTTGATATATTGAAAACTGATATATATTTTTAGTGGAAGCATTACTATTTATTGGACTTTTTAAAAGAGTTTATAAATGCTTACAAACATACACTTTGATAGAAGAAATAAGACCTGGTGTTTGATAGATCAGTGGCATGACCATAATTAACATTAATCCATTGTACAATTCAAAATAGCTGAAAGACAATAATTCAAATGATCCTAGCATAAGGATAAATATTTAAGGTGCTGATATCCCAATTACCCTGATTTGATTATATGAACGTATTACATTATCCCATACACTCTGAAAATGTGTACATCTAATATACATCAATAAAAATAAACAAAAAAATAAACAAAATAGTCTAAAATTTTCTCCTGAATACTAAAATTAGAATCAAGAAGTTTTAGACATTATGGAATTCCATGGAACAGAGTTGGAAAACTACAAGATGTGGTGACGTTTCTAGGTTCATTCCAAACGTTTGAACTTTTGATTCTTCTGACATTGGTTACTTAGCAAATCTGTCCAAGGTCATTTACCAGGTGAGTATCGCTGTCCACTGAAGGGGTAGAAAACTCTACTGTATATATTTATTTTCTCCTCTGATGACTTTTAAAGGAAGCCTGGCTGGGGACAAGATGCTGGATACCTGGCACAGAATAAGAGCTCCATTTATCACTGTTGACATGAACTACCTACTTGCCGCCACCAGGGGTGTCTGTTTACTAAGCAAATAATAACTCTATATGATAGAGTTTAATGGGGAAAGAAATGTGGGAGCTTTTCTATCTTCTCAATAAACCCTGCTTTCTCAAAAAGAAAGAGAGAGAGAGAGAGAGAGAGAGAGAGAGAGAGAGAAGAGAAAAGAAAAGAAAAGAAATCAGTGTGATAGTCAAGGTAGTAGCTAATCAGGTTAACAGGTAAGTCACTGTGCCAAATAATAGCACAAGAGCCTATGAAGAAGCCACCAGGACAGAGAATAGATCCTGATAGCCCAGGTAGGCAGCGAGCTCAGCGGGTGCCAAACTTAATCCCAGTTACAGATGCAAACCAATCAGTCCAAAGCGAGTGAAGTTTATGTCTACTCTTATAACTCTCAACTCTTTAGTACCTATTGTAATGCCAGGCAAAAAGTAGGTACATGATAAACACATAGAAATAAATGAAAAGCAATGCTAAATCAAATCTCTTTATTCTAAGTCCAGCTACTTGAGCTATCAGAGTTAAGTAGACACAAATACAACCCTCCATCTGAAAGGGGGACCTTTCAAACTAGTCACCTGGCACACTATGGGGCAGTCATAATATCTTAGTTCTGAAAGGCAGTTCATTCAAGCTCCATGGGACCACTGATTCAAACAGTTCTGATAAAACAGAGAGTGTGCAAAACATGGGTATAGATCATACCAAATGGATGTACCTTTCATCACTAGCTATTTTTGGAATTCACCTGAATACATGCATGTGTATTCCTGTATTCGAATGCCTGACTCAGGAAGCTAAATTGCGCCAATAACAAGATGACTCACTTTCCTAGACCATGAATTATACTAAACAATTGAGGAAAGGAGTAGTTGTTGCCCTTGACAACCAATAGCTATCTGGGTATTTTGGAGACCCAAAGTAACCAAAGCACAGCAAAATCTTTCTTTCAAAAATGATTGCTTACATCATTGTTCTAACAGCCCAGATTCATGATTCTCAAATCTATGATTCTTCTTGTGTCCTATCACACCAGAATTTCAGGAACTTAAAAATCATGAAAAATTTGATTAGCTATTTTTTTACTACCTTGCTTCAAATTTCCTTAGCTCAGAAAAGTCTTCTCTGTTTTCTTTCCTGCTTAAATAACACCAAAACAGCACACATAAGTTTTGTTTTGTTTTGTTTTATGCATAGCTAATAGTCATTGATCCTTCTTCATTTTCAGGAAAGAATGTGTAACTGGTCCTGACTCAGGAAGCTTTGTCAAAGCCTCTCTGTTCTATTCTCCAACTCCATTTTGTCCCCAGCCCTGATGTTTATCCTTTAGAAGTTTGATTTGATCTTTTATCCTTCCCATACTCTCATACATATGAAATACTGATTTCTGGTCCAGAGCTGGCTCTTATTCATTTCTGATGAAGACATTCTTATTATGCTGCTATTCTCCTACCACTTGGAATGACTATTTTGAATGCCTTCCCTCTTCTTTCGTCCAATAGAAAGACTACTCGTGCCATTCATGAAAGACTACTCATGCTTATGATTCATCAACTGCTTCATTGGAAGCCTTTTTTTGCAATTACTTCAAACCCACAATGACCTATTCTTCTGAATTTCTGCCGAAATCACAGTCAGTTCCACATGTCCCTCAACAAGCAACTAGTTATTGAATTTTTACATGCCCTATTTATTGCTCAGTTACACCTCAGTTGTTTTGAAGCGAGTCACCATGCTTTATAAACTTCTCTTTTACCTCTCACAAAGCTCAGAGTTGGACACAGCCAGCCTTCAACACCTACTGACCATCTTAACCAGGTCAGTGTTTTCATCTTCTAACATGTAAAATTCCTGATGGCACAATTCATTTGTCAAACTGCAGGGAACACAGAAAACCTGGCATACAAATGCTTCCTGAGAAAAACTATGGCCCTAGATTTGAGACATACTGTTATAGTACCTTACCTGGATTAAAAACAGGAAACCAGTGGTAGAACTCATTCTTGTAGGGAACAGTGTCAAACTCACTGCATTGCATCTGCCGAAACGTTGGTGCATCTGGGCGACAGTGGTGGACATTGCACAAACGATAACGTTTTCTTTCTCCAGTGCAGTATTTCCCTCCAAACTTTGGTCTACAAGTAAAATAGTCAGTTGTTCTTTTAGTTTCCTCCGAGGTTGACTTTTTCTTTTAAAACTCCACTGGTATTTGGCCATGCCTTTTCTTTGCCAAACTATGTCTCTGTCTGCCCTCAATACTTGCCTTTTAAATAAATGCTTCCAATTGCATACATTTTTTTCTTGGCTGCAAACATTTCAGTCCAAAGTGTATATTAGCTTATTTTGAAATAGTCTGTATACCTTTTTCATCTGTATATCCTCCAGGCAAAATATATGCTGAAAGGGACACATTACTGCCCTTTCTAACCTACTCCTTCTCTGACTCCTGTTTAGCAAGCTGAAAGGTGGTCAGATTTTAGAATCATTCAAACTTGGCTTTCCTAGGACCCCACGGTCAATCAGTTGCCTGGTCATCAGTTGTATCTTTACATTTGTTTCCTCCTTTTCAACTCTGCAATTATCAAACCAGTATAATTCTTATCTCCACTCCTATCTTCTTTCTGCCTTCTTTATAAAAAATTCAACACACCGTACAAACTATTATCTGATAATGTTTCAGATTACCTTAACTATTTTAATTTCTAGTTTAAAACCCTCTAATGGAATCCAATTATTACATCAGCCTTTTGAGCTTGGCATCCAAAGCCCTCATGATCGTGCCTTAACTCACGTTCACAATTCACTTCCCATACTCCCCTTCTTCTGTACACCACTCCAGCAGTACATGCTGTCTTATCTAGTATTTATATTCGGTGCCTTTGGGTACATTTGCTGTCTCTTAGTCTCCACGTGTGTACATTCTGACCAAACTTGAAGGATAAAATGAATGCTATGTGATCATGTCTCCTTCTTGGATTCTTCTTAAAGGACACTTTATGTACCAACTGTAAGCACTTCCTGAACTTATTCCCAAAGGTAATTCTCTGATGACTCAATCCAAACTCTATGTCCTCTGTGGTACCTAAGTAGTATTTGAGTGTAGAAGGCTCTTAAACATTCAATGAATGAATTCATTAATCTTATTTTAGAACAATCATTTTCAAATTTTTATTTCCTTTGCAATACACTTGAAGGCATATCATCTTTCCATTAGGATAAATAGATCTCAAGAAAGCAGAGAGGGGAATAGAGAAAAATAGCTCTCAGAAAAGCAAAGGAACTGTGTATTTTTCGATAACGTTCCCAGGCAATGTAGTATGCCTTCTTGGCTCCATCTTGCTGCGATGTCTGAGTCAGGGATTGTGCCTCCCATTGCAGTGCAGCATAATGGGCCCAACTGCCTGGAGTTTGAATCTGGCCTTACCTTTTTACTAAAAAAGGTTAGATGACTCTCAATAAGTTAACTTATGTCTCCGGGCCTCAATATTTTTCATTTGTGAAGTGAGCGTAATAGTTTTTATCTCACAAAATGCTATCTCATTCAATGCTGAATGAGACATTGCACATAAAAATTTAGTAAGGTAGCTAATGCAAAGTAAGAGCTCAATAAATGACAGTATTTGTGGTTAGTGTGAAAATAATCAGTATTTATAACCACGTGTTCAATACCACGTCTAGGGGGAAAGAGACTGCAAAAGAAGGTCAACCCATGCCCTAGGCTTCCTAGAAGTGCATAATCTCATTGAGGAGAGAGAAAAAAACCTACATAAGAAATGAAAAAAAAAAAGTAAGGCAGCAACTATGTATCCCTGACTGTATGTACAATGAGAGTTTTGTGAAAGGAGAGTCATGGAAGTGAGGTTAAGGGAAAGAAGACGCAGGAGTGGTGGTCCTGGAGAATGGTCTCAAAGGATGGATGAGAAGTGGCTTCTCAGTGCAAAGGCAGAAGTCGTGCCAAGTGAAGCAGTCCAGATGAAATTATCTCCTAGAGCCACCAATAACTAGGACATCTTCCCAAAGTTCCCAGCTGGTAGTGGCAGAGTCAAGATTTGAACCATTGTCTGTCTGCCTTAACCCACAGCCTGAGCTCTTATCCACTGTGTTATAATGCCTAACCATGCAGTTTCAGGAGACAGAACCATAAATCCTGGCAATCTAGTCCAGTCCTGATTGTGGTTGGAGTTCTTACTGGGTCTACTACACTTTGCTCTCCTTGAATTTCCGTAAGATTTTCTGTAACATCACTCACTTAATGTGGCTTGAATAGGTTTCTGTTCCTTGCACAGACAAGAGCTTTGACCAAGGCAGTTCAAACAGTAGGCTAGTCATTTTTTGACTCCCTAGTCATTTTTTGACTCCCTAGTCATTTTTTGACTCCCTATAGTAGGTCTTAAGAATTGCCCTTGATATTTGAGGTCAGGCTGGTTTTCAATTTACGATGATGGAGTGATACTCTATGCCTTGGCATCTCTCCAATTCATTTCCATATTCCTAACCAATTTTGCTGACAGTATCTTATGAGCCCAGCCCTGTTGAGTTTTCACTAGACAGATGACCAACATCCCAGATACAGTATCAAGGTCCACTAGCTTATGCAGTGACCTAAATCTTTTTTAAATCACAGAACTGAATCTGTTACGTGGTTCCATTGGCAATGTTCTCAACGAACTTAAGCAAACCAGCTACGGAGGACAGACATGTTCATTCCCCTAAGGAGACTCTATGATGAATTGTGGCCTTGGAGATGGGAATTAGGGCCACCTTTTCCCTGAAGCCCAGTTAAAGAAGCACCCTATAGTTCCTCAAATAGGATGGCCCTTCTCTGAGAACCATAGGTCAATAACCATCCTCCCAAGAAAGTTACATACTGGTGGTGACTGAGTATACTATTTTGACAATAAGTCCCACAGCACATTGCCTATATTTTCTAATCTCTCAAATAAAAACCAAATTTCTGATCAAATTGAAACAAATTGTTAAATAACAATTTTCTCTAAAGTGCTTTATGAAAAAATTCCTGGTTTTGAATTTTTAAAGTTACAATCATTTACTTAATCATACAACAAAGCATAAAATTTTAAAATAATTTCATCAAGATTTTTCAGATGTGTGCTTATGTGTATGGTAAATGATAAAGCTATTATAACAACTATCATTTATTAACAGTTTATTATTAGTAGGGATGTTAAATTATATGCAGATATTAACTTATTAACCCTCAGAAAAAATATACAGTATAAATAGAGAGATAGCGAGTGTGTGTGTGTATGTGTGTATATACATATAAATTCACATACTCACATATATAGTAATATATTTATTAATAAAAAAGAGAAATACTATTTGGAACTGAGATACTGAGGGATAAAACCACTTTTATTGCTTGCCTTTTAAAAAGTGTGACTCTTCCTATACCTTGAGAACCCAAAGGAACCTGCCAAAAACAGATTCTTTATCAGTAATAAATGATAAATGACTTTGGCAAAGTCTCAGGGTACAAAATCAACATGCAAAAGACAACTGCATTTCTACACACAAACAACAAGCAGGCAGGGAACCAAATAAAAAGCATAATCCCATTCGCACTAACCACAAAAAAATGAAATACTTTGGCATCTTTCTAACCAGAGAAGTAAAACACCTTTACAATGAAAACTACAAAATACTACTCAAAGAAATCAAAGAAGAAACAAACAAATGGAAAAACATTCCATGCTCATAGATTGGAAGAATCAGTATTATTAAGATTTCCATGCTACCGGATGCAATCTGTAGATTCAATGCAATACCCATCAAATTACCAATATCATTCTTCTAAGACCTGGAAACAACAATACAGAAATTCATATGGAAACAAAAAAGAGCAAAAATAGTCAAAACAGTCTTTAGCAAAACAAATAAACAAACAAACCAAAAAACAAAGTAGAAGGTATCACACTTCCAGAATTTAATCTTTACTGTAAGACAACAATAATCAAAAGAGCCTGGTATTAGCACAAGAACAGGCATATAGACCAATGGAACAAGATAGGGATTTCAGAAGCAAAAACTCGATCTCTCAACCAAATCATCTTTGAGAAAGACATCAGTAACAACCTTGGAGGAGAGAGGACCTTACTCGGCAAATAGTATTGGGAAAACTGACTGATCACATGCAAAAGAATGAAACAGGACCCCTACCTATCACCATATAAAAAAAATCAATTTTAAATAGTTCAAAGACCTAAACATAAAATCTCAAACTATAAGAATCTTAGAAGAAAACACAGGAGTTTTGCACATTGGAATAGGCAACCAATTCTTGATAATAATCCTAAAAGTATATGCCATAAAAGATAAGATAAACAAGTGAGACCTAATCAAATTGAAAAGCTTTTGCACAGCAAAAGAAGCCATCAAGAGAGTGGGGAGACAACCCACAGAATGGGAAAAAATATTTGCTAACTGTATATCTGACAAACACCTAACATCCAGTATCTACAAGAAACTCAAACAAGCTGAAAGGAAAAAACCAAACAGCCCTATTTAAAAGTGGGCAAAAAACATGAATAGACACTTCTCAAAAGAAGACGTATGAACAGCCAACAGATATATGAAAAACTGCTCAGCCTCACTAATCATCAGAGAAATGCAAATCAAAATCACATTGAGATACCGCCTAACTCCAGTAAGGATGGCCATCAGTTATAACTCAAAAAAACAACAAACATGGTGAGGATGAGGAGAAAAGAGAACACTTCTACACTGTTAGTGGGAATGCAAACTAGTTCAACCTCTATGGAAAACAGTGTGGTGATTTCTAAAAGAACTTGAAATTGACCTTCCATATAACCCAGCAATCTCCCTACTGGGAATATACCCAGAGGAACTCAAATCATTTTATGAAAAAGATACCTGCACATGCACATTTATTGTAGCACCATTCACAATAGCAAAAACATGGAACCAATCCTGCTGCCCATCATAAGTGGACTGAATAAAGAAAATGTGGTACATATATATGATTGAGTATTATTACACAGCCATAAAGAAGGACAAAATTATGGACTTCGCAGCAACTTGGATGGATCTAGAGTCTATCATACTCAGTGATCTATCATAGAAACAAAGAACTAACTACCACATGATCTCACTCATAAGTGGGTCCTGAACATTTATGACAGTACTATAAGAGAGGGATCACCAGTGGTGAAACACTGCAGCAGGAGAGGCACAAAATATCACTTAGGGTACCTGATCCTGAACCAAGGGAAGTGAGGACCAGTTGGAGGCCCAAACTTGACCTGCACGTAGACTGCTTGTGTAGCTAATCCTGACTTGTACCCCACATCTTTACAATAAAATAAAGGAAAAAAATGTGACTCTTACTCTTCAAAGCAGATAAATGTAAATCTAGGCAAAAGAGGCTTAATATGTTTTCCACTTTAAGATGACATCACATGTATACTTTCTAAAATTACCTGGGGGCCAATATATCAAGAAATAATAAAATTAAGAATGTAAAATATATTTGGAAAACAAGCAAATTTAAGCTTTTATATAATATTGTCATACAAATGTAACATGAAAAATTAAGCAATTTAATTTAAAAAAACTGAAAACCACTTATGAAATAACATATACAGAAACCTTAACAGCCTTAATTACTTCAGGGTTTACAAGAATCCTTATCTAAAACATTAAAAATAATTATTCTACCAAAAATGTATCTATTTTACTAGTTACATAAGGGGAAATATTTTTATAAAACTGTACCTTCATTATGATGTAAATCAAGGTACAATCTTATCAGCAAAATTGGGTATAACTTATTTCTCACTGATACAGTGGAGTTATCTAGAAAGATTTGCATAATCTCCTAGAGGCTGTCACATAAATTGCCCATTTAAAAGAAATTTGCTTATTTTCCCAAATATTGGAACCATCTCACTTATACAAATTTTAGTAAGAATTCAGTGCCAAGTCAACATGAAACAAAACAAAACAGAATTACTTTTTTTTTTTTTTTTTTTACTCTCTGTGAATCTTCTGATTTCTTTTTGTCTTGGGAAACACATTTAATTTATCTCAAGGCACTTGGGGTCACTGAGGTCGTATCATTCAGGACTGGCCTCCCAGCACTTGTGGAATGAAGGGAAATACATTTGTCTGGACTTACTCAGGGTTGTTGCAGAGCCTCTCTGCACTCTGGGCTCCAGCCCCACAGGTCCTGGAACAGTGGGACCAGGGTGACCAGCGGCCCCAGCCTCCAGGAATGCTCTCTGGTTTCTTCCCCACTGTGATGCATTTGCCAGCCATACACCACTGGAAAGGGAAGAGGAAGGAGATGCACATGTCAGGAAGGTTCCGGTAGCAAGCAGGGACAGGAATCCTAGAGGGCTAAACCCAATACTCCCTAAGCAAGTAGACCTCCTACAGTCACACATCAGATGCTAAACAAAGAAAGCCTCAAAACGGTTTCTACCAAGAGTCTTGAGTTTTAGAATCAGAGAAGTTTCAAGAGTGGAAGGAAACTTGATGGCGCTTAGTCACAGCCAATGAAGGAGTGCTACTCAGTGTGGCTAGCAGATTGCATGCCAGAATGTAAATTAACACACCATTGCTTTTATCAAGAAAAATCTTGCTATGAAAAGCATGTCAGCTTAGTATGCTTAGTAACATAATCGCTTAATAACACAGTTGATTTACTTTCTGGTGCAAGATCCTTATCTTGTTGCAGACCACAACAGTTCACAGACTGGCACAGTGAATAGAACTTCTTTATAGCCTCTATGGGTGTTTAATGACTGCAACAAAGAACTCATCCTCCTGCAAATAGTCCATTTCACTGCTAAAAGATACGAGTTGTGGGGAAGTTCTTTCTTATGTCAAGAAAAAAATTCGCCGGGCTCGGTGGCTCAGCCTGTAATCCCGCGCCTTTGGGAGGCTGAGGTGAGTGGATTGCCTGAGTCCGCGGGTTCGAGACCCGCCTGGGCAGCGAGACCTCATCTCTACAATAAATCAAAAAATCAACCGGGCGTGGTTGGGCATGCCTGTAATTCCGGCTACTCGGAAGGCTGAGGCGGAAGGATCGCCGGAGCCCAGCAGGTCGAGGCTGCGGTGGCCGGGAGCAGCCACTGCACTCCAGTCTAGATGACAGAGTGAGACTCCAACTCAAAAAAAAAAAAGAAAAAGAAAAAAATTCTGGTTTCCTGTAACCCACACATTGTTTGCAGTTCTGGGTTTTCAAGCAACTCAGAAAAAAAAAAATCTTTCTCCCTCTTCTAGGCAATCCTTCCACAATTATCAGTTTAGGATGTAAAGAAAAGGAAGTGCAACTTGGTTTTTAAAAATGGCTACGTTTCCTAAAGGAGTTGGGCATGTTTTATCTGCTCATCTCTTTTTTCGTTATTTTTTCGTGTCTCAGTATATTTTGACCAGGTTCTATGATCTCAGTGACAAGTCATGCCACACTCAAACTGGATAAAGATACCCATTAAACACCTAAGTCCTAGGTCCACAACAAACCCTGCTGATTTAGTTGAGGAGCACATGTAATCCCGTTCTCAGGCAATCTGGGGGATTGCTAACATCTCTGAATCTTGGGTATATGACTTTCCTGCTCAGTGAGCAGAACTTTAAAAAACGCAATCACATCAGATGGTGAGGAAGAAATATGGCCTAAATAAATGGTCGAAATCCTGCATTTTTAGAAAGAAGAAGCCACTGGCTTGTCCTTTCCAATCATCAATATGGAGGGAAAAAGTCAAAACAAGGGTTGACAACAAGCTTAGCAGATTTTATTCATCACAAACTCCACAGAGGTACATCAGGGAAAGACGGGACAGCCGTTTTCACTAAGTATGGAAGTGGGCTCACTCTTCTTAACTACTTGTACCCGTACAGAATCACCAGGAGAGGTCGACAAGGGATCCTCTCCTCTGGCTGACCTGACTGCAAGACCTCCATTCTTGGCTCTTCACTTGGAGAGAGTTGCCCTCCTGAACCTCCTTCCCAGTTCCTCCCAAGAATTCTGTGCCCACCACCCTCCCAGTTTCCTTCCTCAACCAGGCACATCCGTCACCTTCTTCTCACCACAGCGCGTCCCATCTGCAGCAGCGTCCAGTTTAGAGCGACAAAAGCCTTTCACGGAGCACCACAGTGTCTGGCAGACATTCTAGAAAATTAATGTGAGATTACATTTCCCTGTATTTTCAAAACTTTCCTAAAACCATTTCTACAGTTATGGTAAAATATATACACACATCCACACACTCACAATAAATACCACTGCTATTAGTGAGTAAATATAGCACGTTCTCACTTATATGTGGGAATTTAATTTTTTTTTTTTTTTTGAGTCAAAGTCTCTCTCTGTCACCCAGGCTGGAGTGCAGTGGCATGTTCACAGTCACTATAGCCGCAACCTGCTGGGTTCAGGCAATCCTTCCGCCTCAGTCTTCCAAGTAGCTGGAACCACAGGCATGCACCACCATGCCTGGCTAATTTTTTGATTTATTGTAGAGACGAGGTCTCGCCATGTTGCCCAGGCTGGTTTCGAACCCATAGGCTCAGGCAATCCTCTCACCTCTACCTCCCAAGTGCTGGGATTACAGGCGTGAGCCACTGCATCCAGTGGGAGTTTAAGAATTTGAGAACATGGAGGTAGAGAGTGAAAAAAATAGATAACAGAGTGGTCTATTATTGGTCACTATTATTAGTGATCTATTGGGGAAGAGTGAATGCACGGGAGGAGGGAGGATGAAGAAATGTGGGTTAATGGGTACATACATACAGTAACATAGAAGAAATAAGTTGAATGTCTGACAGCAGAGTAGTGTGACTATAGTTAATGAAAATGCACTATACCCAGGTGATGGACACCCTAAATACCCTGATTTGATTACTACACATGATATACATCCACCAGAATTTCATATGTATGCCACAAATTTGTACAAATGATAACAAGGAAAGGGTGATGGAAAGTAATCATTAGAGCTCTCAGTTTAAACTTAACTTGAATTTTTTCATAAACAATGATCTGCAGGCCACATTAGACAATATGGAAATGAGAGATAAGACTCATTTCCTGAGAGTTGAGACTGCCATTTTTTATAAATTTTTAATTTTAAAGATGTGGAAGAGACTGTCATTTCTTTATGCTTGTCAAAATATCCAGCACTCATTGTAACTGGTGACATTGTCAAAGGCAGATCCAAACTGTGGCTGGAAGGCAATCTGATTACAAACAGCTGAAGTGGTTGTAACTTGAGCCTGCACATTGGAAGAAGTAAAAACTGTTCCACCCAGAAAGCCTCAGCATATTACCCAAAGTAGTCAGCTTGTTTTATTTTCCAGGGAGAGAACTGCATATTCCCTCTTATTTCTTCTCCTATGGGAATAATGGAAGATTGACCAGTTTCTTAGATGTCATCTGAAACGTCTCAGCTGCTTCCACTCATGTTTCAGTCTTTTTTTTTTTCCTGTCTACCGATTTTCTGTCATTCTATCCACTGATTGTGCTCTACATCGAATGTGTCTTTTCATTGTGAGATTTCATATATATATATTTTTATCTTTATTTTTTGAGTTGGAGTCTCACTGTCACCCAGGCAGGAGTGCAGAGGCATGATCATGGCCACCCCAGTCTCAGCCTGCTGGGCTCAGGTGGTCCTTCCACCTCAGCCTTCCAAGTAGCTGGGACTACAGGTGCACACCATGATGCCTGGCTAACTTTTTACAAAAATTTATTGTAGAGACAAGACCTTGCCATGTTGCTAAAGCTGGCCTCGAACTCCTGGGCTTAGGCAATCCTCTCACCTTGGCCTCTAAGTGCTGGGATTACAGACGCGAGCCAGGCAGATTTCATATTTAAAACAATTTTAGAAAATTCCCAATCTTTATCTCCTTAAATTTTGCCTCCTCATTCTCTTATTTGGGAACCCATACTTGTTGTTGATGGACCTTCCTATTTTGTCCTTCACGTTTCAACATCACTTTCACATTTTCTAGCTCTTAATCTAATGTATGAAATTTGAAGAACTTTCTTCTCCCATCACACATCTCTGAGAAACATTCAAGTGGGATGGGGAGTAATTTTCTCAGCTCTAAATTCTAGTTGATTGATTTTCCTTTAAGCTGTGTCAAGTCTTCTGTTTAACCCATCCACTGACTTTTTGGGTCAATAACCATATTTTTCATTTCTAAATGCTTGTTTGTTCTTTTCAGCTCTGCTTTACATACAGCTTATGGTGTTTTTTCTTTTCTCGAATGCAATTCTTCCTTTATGTATTTATTTTATTATTCTCATCTAAAAATCAATTATTGAAAGTTCTTGGGGACTTATTGTCTCTCCTTACTTAGCTGAAGATAGACTGTTTTAAATTTTAAATTAGAAGCTGAATTATGAACATATTTGAAGGGTAACTTTATCTATTGGAGTTTTGTGCAACCTCGGTTGAGAGTTGGTTCCTCCAGGGCAATTTCACTTTTATTCCCAGGCATCCATGATATTCCAGGGCCAATTGCTATCATTATTATTAGCATGGGGAACTGAAGCTATATAGGGTAGAAATTTGAACTCTAGATCAGCATGAGGCTGGCCTGTAGTAAAGAATTTTCTGTTTTTTGTTTTTTTTTTTGAGTTGGAGTCTCACTCTGTCGTCCAGCCTCGACCTGCTGGGGCTCCAGCAGTCCTTCCGCCTCAGCCTTTCAAGTAGCTGGAACTACAGGTGCGCTACTACCCCTGCTAATTTTTTTTATTTCTTTTTTTTTTTTTTTTTTTTTGAGTTGGAGTCTCGCTCTGTCGCCCAGACTGGAGTGCAGTGGCCACTCCCGGCCACCGCAGCCTCGCCTGCTGGGCTCCAGCGATCCTTCTACCTCAGCCTTCCGAGTAGCCGGAATTACAGGCATGCACTACCATGCCCGGTTGATTTTTTGATTTATTGTAGAGATGAGGTCTCGCTGCCCAGGCGGGTCTTGAACCCGCGGGCTCAGGCAATCCACTCACCTCAGCCTCCCAAAGGCACGGGATTACAGGCTGAGCCACCGAGCCCGGCCTTTTTTATTTCTTGTAGACATGAGGTCTCACCAAGTTGCCCAGGCGGGGCTCAGGCAATCCACTCACCTCAGCCTCCCAAGGCACAGGATTACAGGCTAAGCCACAGAGCCTGGCTTTTTTTCAAGTGAGAAAGTTATCTACTAGCACTTCCCTCCATTTTTTCTCCAGAAACTAGACTGAGATGAACGATGCTTCTCTGTCATCTCCCTTTGCTGATGGTGGATTTCTTCTAGTCCATCCTTTCACTGAGGAACAGCTCTTTGAGAATCCAAGCTTCATGTAGAAGTCTTGGTTCTAACTCCTGTCTCTGCTTAGAGAGAATATGTCAGCATATGTTCCCATCTGAATGTTAGCACCCAAGCCCTTTTATGATCTCCAGTCAGCCTCAGCATCTATTCATACTTATCACTTCCTCTTTCAGATTTTTTCCCCATCCCTAAAGACTTTTATTTAAAACTTGCTTGTAAGTTCATTAAGTATTTATAAAGGATATTGTGCTAAATGAAAGGTATGCTGAAAGTGAGCATACATTACTCTTTTTGTAATGTCTTTGGAATTTAAACTATTTCAAAATAAAGATAGGTGGTACTATATTTTCTAGTGTTGAAGAGGTTTTTTAAATAGTCAAAATAATTAGGTTATCTTGGTTGCAATATAAAGGAATCTGAAGTCTTCATTCACTTATCTAATGAGTGCCTACTATGTGCCAGACACTGCTGAATGTCAGGGATGAAAATTCTTTCAGGGAATTGACAGAATAGAAGAAAAGTGTATAGGCAAATGTGTTAGAAACTTAAATATAGTCTAATAAAGACTTTGTCAAAGAAAACTCAGAATAGGACATGAAATAATATGTAAGCTGAGACCCAAATGATGAGTAGAAGAGATGGTACAGAGACACCAGAGCTTGCAAAGTTCTGGAGGAAGTAAAAAACCCAGCACTTTCAGAGAAGGGAGGATGCTCAGTATGGATAGACATGGAATATAAAAGAGGAATTGATCAGAGATAATTACAGTGTTCTGTCCTAGTAAACAACAGGATATCCTGAAAACCTCATATCTCCATAAAACTTTGAAAATAATGGATAAAATGTTTTAAATGTTTTAAGTGCATCCTTGAGTTAACATGAAAGTAAGGAAAATCCTCAGAGGCTAAACATATAGCAGAAATATTAATCTGGGCCAGGCATGGTGGCTCATGCCTATAATCCCAGCACTTTGGGAGACTGAGGCGAGAGGATTGCCTGAGTCCAAGGGTTCAAGACCAGCCTGGGCAACTTGGCAAGACCTTGTCTTTACAGTTAATCAAAGAGTTAGCTGGGCATGGTGATGCATGCCTATAGTTCCAGCTACTTGGAAGACTGAAGCAGAAGGATCACCTGAGCCCAGAAGGTCAAGGCTGTAGGTAGCCGTGAGTGAGCCACTGCACTCAAGCCTGGGTGACAGAGTGAGAAAAAAGAAAGGAAGGAAGGAAGGAAGGAAGGAAGGAAGGAAGGAAGGAAGGAAGGAAGGAAGGAAGGAAAGGAAGGAAAGAAAAGAAAAGAAAAATAATATTAATCTGGAGAGTCAAGCCTAGTAATTTAGATCTGAGATTTACTGATCACTTGGATACTAATGCCTACCTAGGGCCTATGTAAGGTGGGAAGTTGGAGGCCTCAATGTATTATTGGAGATATGTATAAGACCGTAAAGGACCAGAACCTCTCAAGTGAAAGCATGAACCAAAAAAAAAAAAAAAAGAAAAAAGAAAAAAAAATCTAGAAAGGGTAGTAAAATGTTACTTCTGAGAGTTTGTATCCTCCACACTAGCTCCCACACTACTCATGCAGTCAACACAACAGCAAACCAATAACTTATTTTAAATTAACCCAAAGATGACAGTGAAAATTCTCTCTGAAACAATGTTCCAGCCATCTAAGCCCTAAAAGAAAGCCTGACATGAAGCTTCATAAGTAAGAATTCGCCGGGCTCGGTGGCTCAGCCTGTAATCCCGCGCCTTTGGGAGGCTGAGGTGAGTGGATTGCCTGAGCCCGCGGGTTCGAGACCCGCCTGGGCAGCGAGACCTCATCTCTACAATAAATAAAAAAAATCAACCGGGCGTGGTAGCGCATGCCTGTAATTCCGGCTACTCGGAAGGCTGAGGCGGAAGGATCGCCAGAGCTCAGCAGGTCGAGGCTGCGGTGGCCGGGAGTGGCCACTGCACTCCAGTCTGGGCGACAGAGTGAGACTCCAACTCAAAAAAAAAAAAAGTAAGAATTCACAAAAACAATCAAAAATTGCAAAAGGAAATTATGCATAGTAGACAAGTTAAATAGGAAACAGATCCACACAGACTCTGGACATTGGAACTGCCCAGTATAAATTGTAAAATAAATGTGTCATATATGGTTAAAGCAATGAAATATCACATTGAAAGTCTAAATTAGGAATAAGATACAGGAAAACATAAAAAATAACTAAATAAACTAAGTAAAAAAAAAAAACAACTAATGAGATTAAAAACTCAATAGGTTAAATAAACATATCTAAAGACCTAGTGGACCGAAAGATAAAGATAAAAAATTACACAAAATGCAGAGCTACAAAGGGATGAAAAATATGAAGAAGAAGTTCCAACATAAGAACAATTAGAGATAAAGTTCCACATGCATATAATCAAAGTACTAGATTAGAGAATGAAGGGTTAAAACAACATTCTCAGAGATACGACCAGCATGAGTTCTAAAATCCCTTCTTAAGTTATTTTAGGGAATTTGAACTTTATTGCAAGGAAGTAGGAAGGCCATGAAATATTTTAATCACGAGAGAAATGATCAGATTTCCATTCATAAAGGTCACTCTGGCTGCATTTTGGTAAATAGATCAGAGTTGAGAGAAAGAAGGTGATCAGACTCTACCAATCAGGGAATACAGTCATCTGAGAACAGACGATTTTAGAGATACGTAGGAAGCAGAATTGGCATAACTTGGTAACCAGTTAGAAGTGAGGGGTGAGGATTTTTGTACCTACTTCACCTTCTCTGTTAAATTTACTTGTTCTAAGAACATTTATTTACTTCCCCTGTAAGTTCTTTCTGTGATTCTTATTGTAAACATTTTTATGTGTGCCTCTTCCATCATGAGCTCCTTGAAGGAAGAAACTTTATCTTAGTAATTTTTGAGTACTTATATTTTTCATCCTATTCAGTACATAGCACAGAATCTGGTAGGGATTCAGTGGGACTTGCCTTGTTAATATCTATGTGTTAACACTGATACTTTTGCATTAAAAGGAATGAATTCAGAGAATAAAAGTGCCACACAGGGAGTCGGGACTTTATCCTGTGGTCAGGAGAGACCCTAAGGGCAGAGTAAAGCTATGGTTAAAATTTGTGTTTTTTAAAAAATAACATGAGCTTATAGGAAAGGGGACTAAAAATAATAAAATAAAAATAACTTGAGCAACAATTTGAATGAGTGAGAGACTAGATAGGAAGTAATTACAATAGCAAGGAAAAGTGATGAGAGACTCAATCAAGACAGAAGCAGTGATAATGAAGAAGACAAGAGGACAGAGCCACACCCTATTTAGAAGGTACAGTGTCAAAACTTGACTCATTATTTGGATGTTAAAAATAAAAAAGAGTGAAGTGGTGATGAATGTTATTCCTACCTTGGAATCTGGTGATACTCTTCAACCAGATGGGAAATTCAGAAAAAGGAGTAATTTAAGGGATTAAGTTAGTTGCTATGGAGTTAACAGGTGTGAATCACTGTGAACCCTGAAAATCACTGTGAAGCTGTCTCAAACACCACCCACTTGCAAAGGATCGCAGACCCCATAAAATATCAAGGAAGCAGGGTCAAGGAATATAGTGAGTCTGACTTCAATTCTTCTGCCTGATAGACACCTTGCCATAAATACAAAGCTTCAATTTCTGTCTGAATCTTCAGGTTTCCAAGTGTTTCCCTGCCCCTTCCTTCCACACGCTGGAGATCTGAAGCCATGCACATACCCACCAGAGGCACCAAGATACCCAACACTTACTTACTTCTACTTCTTGGCAGAAGGTAGCATTGGGTCCATACTGTAGCTGGCATTGGTGGTGAACATCATAGATTTCTCCCGGGGCAATGACCTTGGACTTCAAGCCTTTCTTTTTGGGTATGTCATCAAGACAGAAACCCCAACCTCGGCTGAAAACAATTTAAGAGAAATGAGATCCATTCCTTATGATTTCCTTCACCTTCAGTCTTTCATGTGGCAGAAACTTCCATCCCTCTGGTTTACTCTTTGTTCTTTAAGACAACTTTATTCTTACAAAGCAGAGAACCCTCTGGGCCCAAGGAGGGGAGTTAATTTTAAAAAATGCAAATTGTATCCCACACCATAAATTTAGTTATTATCTAGGAAATACAACCAGTGGTACAAAATCATCATCTTACCCCCAACAGGGTTTGGGTGTCAATAGGTCACTTCTAATCTGTTTTGATTGCTCCTGCCAGTCCCCATAATAAGATCATAAAAAGCCATCTTGGGGCAGGAGTAATCAGAAAGGGGACAGAATGTTCATCTGGATGTGGCTGGAGAACACAGCCCATCTAGATCATAAAGTTAAAAAGCAGAATTGAAATCTGTCCCTTCTGATGCCACCCTAATACTGTGGGAAGAAACTGAGCTTTTTCCAGGGATTAGCTTAGCTCCTATGTATAAAAACCCAAGATAACTTCGAACTTAAAGAGACTTGAGTGAGGTTGTCATGAGAGGTACTGTCACTTACTCCAAGAAGCGGGTGATATACTCCTTGCTGCATTTGGACCATGTCAGTGGGGTAGGGTCATACTGGAGCTGGCGGGACATAATGTATGGGTGCCTGCCCACGGGCTCACAGTCGTTTTCCTTTCCATCATGCTGGATGCCGAAGCTGGCAGGGAGGTGGAAGGCACAAGAATAGCAAGCAGGCAGGCATTAAACTGAGAGGAAAATCCAAGGTGATAATCATCCACAGAGAGGTACTTTTGTGCAGAAGGCAATTGTTTTCAAAGTGAGATTTGAAGTTGGAGGGGCATAGCGAATTTTCCACCTGAAAGGCACAGGGAACGTTGCGGGCATGCCTATGCTTCACATATGCAACTGTGGGAGCCATCTGGCTCATTCAGAAACTTCTAGTTGGCAAAAAGCTAAAAGCTCTGTCTGGCTTTCTGTGAGTCGGGAGTCAGGAGGGCAAATCCTGACCCAAGCTGTCTGCTTTCTCCCGCTGCTGCAACCACAGCACACAGCACAAAGGAACAAAACCTTCCTTCTCCCTTTTCATTTAATTTAAGAGAGAACATGAAAGGGGAACCTCTGGAAGACTTTGTCAATGACCACAAGTTTTGAAGGGTGGATTTCTTTCTACTATTGCTACAGGAATCTTCTGGCACATTAGGGAGACCTCCTGATTGATTAAGTGGGTAAGAGAAGGTTTTGTGAAGACAGGTGATCTGGATTTAAGTTCCAGCTCTGCTATTTACTGATCTGTGAGTTACTAAAACATGCCTCACTCTCTTCTCCTAGAAAATGGGTGGTTGTCATATCTAGGATGAGGTCTGAATGGAATAAAATCTAAAGGGCACTTAGCAGGGTGTCTGGCACATAATAAGGGCTTCATACATGGTAGTTTTTTTTTCTTTAATTCTGTCACCCAGGTTGGAGTGCGGTAGGACAATCATGGCTCACTGCACCCTCAACCTCCTGAGCTCAGATGATCCTTCTGCCTCAGCTTCCTGAGTAGCTGGTACGACAAGCATGTGCCACCATGCCTGGTTAATTTTTTGTAGGAACGAAGTCTCGCTATGTTGCCTACTCAGGTCTTGAACTCCTGGGCTCAAGTAATCCTCCTGGCCTCCCAAAGTGTTAGGATTACAGATATGAGCCACTGTGACTGGCCAAAGACAAAATATTTTAAATTGTTGTTTTTTAAAATCATGGTCAAATTTATTTTCCTTTTCCAGATGAGAAAGTTAAGACTTTGAGATTTGTCAAAAGCCTAGTAGCTCGTTAGTGGTAAAAGTAGGTCTTAGATGCAGATCTTTGTGCTCCCAACTCAGGACTCTTGTCCCCATGTCTCTCAGTCTCTCCCCTGACCTCTCACTGCCAGGGTTGACCAGGCAAAACAGCCTTGAAGGACTCTCAATAGCTTTACTGTTCACCAGAAAAAGGGTGTGCCTGGAAAAGAAGCCAACTCAGAAGTATCTGTTTATAAGCCACGTTCTCGGGATCACCCCAAGATGCTTTCTGGGATTTCCACAAGAGCTCTCTCCACTGGGGTCTACATTTGGACACTTTAACCTGGAGATGTTGGCTCAAATGTCCAAATCTATATGACCGTTTACTCTTCGCAGTGAAATTCAACTTATCTGACCAAGAAGCTTACATCCAACTTGAATAAAATATCCTGATCAGCATTAGCAACTCTTGCAGAGAATTGTCTTTGGGGGGTTTAGAGATTCTCTTGTATTTTCATGTGTTATGGTATTATTGATGCACTTGCAAACTCTAATCACATTCCACATGAATACAAAACTCACAAAGGAGTCAGAGAATTAATCCACAAAGCTCTTATCCACCCACATAGAATGTGATTCAACGAAAGCTTCCTTCTAAGCAGGTTTTTTCTCTTAGGCTGTTGCAAATCCAGTCCTACCCAGCTTATGAAGTACTCTATGAATTCAACTGTTCAATAGTGCAATTACTAAACTGCAATCAAGTTTCCGAAAATCTGCATGAATAATGGTCTTCTTAGCTGTGGATGTTCCAATACACCAAGCTATAAGATTGAGTCCTATACACTCAGTGGCTTCAAACCTACACTTAAAATATGTCAGTTCCCCAAATGCTCATTTTGTTCCATCTAACGTTTTTAATTTTTTAAAACATTTTCCTCTCCAACCTAATCATCCCTCTGTACTCTTATCTTATGAGAGAAAAGCAGTACTGCTCAACAAATATCCCTCCCATCTGTCTACTGTCTCCAAATGCATGACACAGTACTGTCACCTAGTACCAGTGGGTTAAGGATAATGAGGAAAGAGGAAAACATATGGGGCTACAAGGATGAAAAACTTGTTTTTCCAAGGTGATAATAACCCAATAATGTACTTTCTAGCATGAGATGGAACCTGACCAGCAGTTTGGACTGGGGAGCCCTGTGCAGTCTCAAAAAACTTACTAGGTTGTTGGAATCGCCTACTTTACTTCATCTTTGTTGTCTCAGTTTTTTAAAGGTAGGTTTGCCAATTTATAACCATGAAATAGCAAGTTAAATAATTGCCTGGGTTTCAGTATATCACTTAGTGGACTATATCCATCCCTTGCCTCTTATTATTCATTTTATAGTGAGGAAAACTAGCAGAGAATGAGAATCATGAAATTATGAATGTGAGCTTTTCTAAATCATTCAGGAATACCAATTTTGTATATATAATGAGCAAAGCTGTATAAATGAAATATATCACAATCCAGAAGAGTGAGGATATTGGGTGGATATTGCATTTTAAGTGTTCATGCATATCATAATATTTTCATTACTTAAAATGAAAGAATTTTAGACCTCAGATAGGTTTTTAAACTTCCTCTTGGAATTGTATCTCCATTTTGGTAACCTACCTAGGGGCCTAGTTAAGATGGTATGAAACCTTAGTATAGATGGCTGACAAAAGTCTTATTATGGATTTATAAGTTTTCTCTCAAAATAAAAGTAAAATTATTCACTTAGGTTATAGCACAAGTTAGTTATCTTTACTTTCTATTTTGCATAATAAACAATCAATCATGAACAAATATGTTTCCAAGAAACAATGGGGTATCTTTGTTATTGATCTATAATGAGTATCTTCTTGGGATATTAATTTATCATACCTTCTTCCTTCTGGGTTGTCCCAGTCCATTTCATTGATCTGCCCAATGTTTCTCGGTTTGGTCCATAGCTAACTAAAACTATACAATTATAAAGAAGCACCTTTTGTTATGTTAAGAAGCTTCTCAGGAAGTTCTTAAAGTGTCTGTACTTTGGTTTTATGTCTTACTGAAGCATTCTTTTCTATTTCTCAAAATCAATCTTACATGTCTTCTCCCACCTTTTTCTTACTTACCAGTAACTCAACTTATGGGTCCCTGAAGCTTTGTTTAATTTTTTTAGTCCCTTTATCTTTGATCATTCAGATTTCTATTGCTCTGTTTTCCAGTTCACTGATTCTTTCCTCTGTCCCCTCCATTATACTGTTCAGTCCATTCACTGAGCTTTGCATTTCAATTATTATATTTTTCAATACTATGATATCCATTTGATTCTTCTCTATATCTTTTATTTCTTAACTGAGACATTATTTTGTATTCACTTAAAGATGGTTGGTAATTGCTCATTGGAGTGTTTTAAACATGGCTGCTTTGAAGTCTTTGTCAGCAAATTCTAACATCTCTGGCATCTCGGTATTAACATTCATTGGTTTCATTTTTTTACTCAGTTTGAGATATTCCTGGTTCGATGAGTGATTTATATTGAAACTTGGAGGTTTCCATATTATGATATAGATCTGATTTAAATCTTCTGGTTTAGCTGCCTTTTCTGACATTATTCTGGCAGGAGAAGGGAGTGGAACTGCTGCCTCCTTATTGCCAGTTGAAAGTAGAAGTTTAGGTTTCCCACATGGCTTCTATAGACACCTGAATTGGGAGAAGGTTGATGGTGGGTGGAATTTCTAGCTTCCTATATGGCCTGCCTGACACCACAGGGGTGGACCTAGGGGAGCACTCATTACTGTGGGGGAAGAAAGTCCCAGTTAGGGCAATATTGCTTTTGTAGGACCTGCTTAATGTATTTCTCTTTACAAGATCAGACTAAACTTAGAATATAAAGGATCTATTCTTTGGACACAAGTAGCAAGAATTTGAGAAAGTCTTTTATCAAGCTAAGTCATCTCTACTTTTCTTTAGCTTGAGTCTATCATTGCTGGGATAGTCTTGAGCAAGCACCTCTCAGCTTGATGCAGTTATAGTCACTTTGCATTGATTACAGCAGGTGCTGTTAATATCAATGACTTAAATGGAGACTATAGGAAACACACCCCTTCATTTATCAGAACTGGGGACACCTGTCTGTTTGCACATAAGAATAACTTTCACCATGCCAGGTTTTATTATTGACATTCCAATAACATGACCTGGTCTTTTCAAGATTAGTCCTGGCTCACCCATATCTCCAATCATTATTTAATTATAAGCAAGTCACTTAACTTCTGTCTCTGAATTTCTGGCAATTAAGGATACTAGAATATATCACATTTACCTCGAGGGCTTTCTGGGTGAGAATCCATTAAATCACTTAAGAAATTTCCTAGTTCAACCTACTCAACTTATACATGAAAAAGCAAGCATAGAAAGGTGAAGGGAATTATCAAAAGTCATAACATTGGCTGATAGAAAGGTCAGAACAAGCATTCACTTCATACAATTCTCAATGTTATGATATGGCTTTAAAATGAAGGTAAAATTATTTTGGAAAGTTCAAATGCTACATAAGAAAAACAGTGAGTAAACCCAGACTGGAGAGGTCATGCCTGGAACAATCTAGCCTCTAACGCTCTTCCTAATCCTGCGCCTTTTCTAGTTGTGTCCTCAGAACATTACCCAGTGTTCTTTCTTCTTCATAAGGAGGACATACAGGTTGGTGGATACGTGACAGGCAAGGGATAGAGTTCAGCTGTTTTTGTGGCTCCCCACTTTAAGTTTCCAATTAGTATGATGCTCTTTTATCTGTAGTTGGCAAATATACTGACAAATAATGTTAGAAATAAGCAAAGATCTTTCTTCCACAGGAAGCTCTGATACCTGGTGAATTCAGAATCCTCATTATAATTCACTAGAACTTTCTGAAACATGCCTTCAAAAAATTCACCTAATCAGAGTCACACAATTATATGACAACTTGAACATCCTGTTAACTGGTATTTGCTTAATAGTCTTTCCAAGTTTACAGCAGTCTTCAATTTCTTACTTATTCAATGTCCTCCTTTAATATATATCAGTAAAATGAAACTCACATTCGTTTTTACTTTAAAAGGTTGTTGAAAAGGTTCAATGGCACATAAAAAACACAATGGCATTAAAGTAAGAGCATAAAATGTTAGGTTTTGTGAAGCTTTAATGATATTAACATTATCATTTCATAAGAACTAATCAGGGGTTGTTCCTGAATTAGACAACTGAGTTAAAGATTATCTCTTTAATCTGCTCTCTGAATTCTGATCCAGAGAATTGGAGTGGTCTCTTTGTTTCTGTAGTGTGTAAGTGGTCAGGGCAGAGGAGACACTGGAGGCTGTGAGATGTTATAACCCCTACTTTACAAATGAGGACGCAGAGTTTGAGGAGGGTGAGTCTCAAGCCATAGGGCAACCTGAATTTCCTGGTCCCCAGCTTAAGGTGCCTTCCATTCCTTCTGCCAATACTGACATGTGAACAGGGTGGGCAGACCTCAGTTTCCTTGGCCCATTACCTGTGTCCGAGCTCATGAGCAATCGTGAAAGCCAAAGGGAGTCCTGAGTCTTCATTGATGTTACAACTCCGGTGAGGCTGGCACATTCCCGACAGGTGAGATAGACCCAGGGTTTCACAGGGACGATTGACACCAGCACAGATGTCTTTTCTGAAAGCAGAGAACAGAGAAGTTCAGGCATCCAAAGGAACATCTGGAAAAGCCTTCTGGAGAAAAAAACCTGGGTATAAACTTACCTTCAATATGGTCGTAAAGTATGCTTAAATTATTTTTAAAAGTCCATATGAATGTAGGGAGTAATTCTACATTCATTAACATGATTTTGGTTTTACCTCTTGATTGTTGAATTTCACTAACACTTTAAAAATGTGGGACAATGTGGCAAATGTTTTACTTTGAGTTGCTATTGCTTTTGATCTCAGGAGGCCAAATTACATGATTTGGCCAACAAGAGATTGTTATTGAAAATTAAAGTAAATTTGAGCTTTTAAATAGGAAAGAGACAATCAGCACTGACTGGGGTTTTTTAAAATATGAAACACTTTTTTGGTCTTTCTGAGGTCTGTGCTCAAAACTCATCTAAGAACTTTTTTTCTCATTCATGAAAAACACAACCTATTCAGAGATCAAATCAACTGTTTATCCAGCCCCACTACACTAACGCTATTGATACGGGAGTATGGGAGAGAGTGTGGACACACACACACGCACATACTCCCTGGTATCTTGCCTCCTTTCACCTCTTCACCAGTAATTCACTATTGCCTGACCCTGGAAAAAGAAAGAAAAGACTCCTAGGATCCCGAAAAATACTAGTTACAGCTTTTAAATGTAAAAATATGCTCCCATATCTCAGTAGAGATTATTTCAATCACTGACAATTGTTTTGAAAGAGTCATTAATTAGTCATTGGTTTTCTTTAGTACAAGAAGAGCTCTTTGCCAAGAGTAACTAGCATAAATGCCCACGAGGTTCTGAGCTTTAGTTAATTGCAAACCTGCAGTTCATGAGGTTTGTGTGAGCACCATTTCTAGGAAGAAATGGTCTCCTGCTTTTTGTGTCCACTGGGCATGGCAAAGATCCAATCCTGAGAATGCACATGAATTTTCAATTCTCCAGGTGGCACTGGCTGCAAAATGGGAGAGGAGAGAGCAGCCACAGTCTCAGCACATGCACCACGGACACCAATCCCCACTCTCACTAAGGGCAGCAGTTGTTGGGTGGTTCGATGTTCGAGACCTAGGTCATACAGCCCAATCATTTCAGTAATTGTGGGGTCTGTAGGAGAACCAACTGAACACTCTACCACCCCTACTGCAGTATGTGCTTGTTACTACATCATTCAGAAAGTCCAGGATTGCATGGAGCTGCTGAGAAAAGATGAATGGTGTTTACTGCCAATCCATTGGCTTTCTCATTTTGAAATGGTCAAGTCCATTAAGTAATTGCTTATAGAGTGCCTTCTAAGTGTCCAGAATTAAGGAGAAAAAATGGGGCAACAAAATATTTTTAGGAACATGGTTTCTGCAGGCAAGGAGCTTAAGCTTCCAAGAGGAGATCAGCTCTACCTCCACCATGCATCAGGGCCATTATATAAGAGAAAATATGCCTCGGCATGAAGCCTCAAGCTGCAATGGAAAACACATATGGAAAACACACACACCTTTTCCTGAATGCAGCTCTATACGGAGCTCTGTTAATGAGGATCTCAGGATACTCCTTCAGAAGCAAAGCTCAGTCTCATACCTCCCTCTCTCCCTGATCCTACCTATTTTTTCAGACCAATGGTTTTCAATGGGGATAGATGATTTTGTTCTTCGGCCCCTTCTAGGGGACATTTGGCAATGTCTTGAGACAGTTTTGGTTGTCAGAAATTGGAAGGTGCTACTGGTATCTCATGAGTAGATACCAGATATATTGCTCAATATACTCCAATGCACAGGACAAAGAATTATCTAGCCTCAATGTCAAGAGTGCTGATGATGAGAATTCTGCTTTAGAATTTGAAATGTTCTCCACTGTCTAGGAATTGGTGAGGTTCATCACACTTTTATGCAACCAGAACCCTGTCCTAAAGAAGAAAAATTACCATATTAAAAAAAAAAAAAGGACAGCAGACTACCTGAACCTAAATTCCAGCTGTACCTATTCACAGCAATGCAATTTTATGCAAGGGACATAACCAAGCGTCAGTTTCCTTATATGTAAAATATGAATGATTAATAGTATATGTAAAATTTTATGCAAGGGACATAACCAAGCCTCAGTTTCCTTATATGTAAAATATGAATGATTAACAACCAGTGTTGTTGTGATGAGTAAATGGAACAATGACTATAGTAATGGACGTGGCATAGTACTTGGTCCATATCAAGCATTTCACACATGTCAGCTATCATTAATTTACTAATTTCTTTATGTGAGAATGAGAGGAGCAACTGCTTCTGCTCTCAGAAAAGGAAAGATTTCTTGACACAGCTGCCCAGTGGCCAATACAGTTCCCTGACTCCTGGGTTCTTTCCTACAGAAATTGTTCCTTCCATCCCACACCCACATCAACCTATTCCCCAGTTTACTGGCTTTTCACAGCTATGAGTCCCGGAAGATTTTGTGGTTCTTATAGGCATTATCGGTCTATCTGTGATCAGAACAAAATCATACCTTCATGGGGGTAAAAGAGAGAAAAGTGTAACCAAAGCAGTCTGACTACTCGGGGGGGGAACCTGCTCCCCATATCCTGCCCTCAACATCAGTCAATGGTGGATTAAAAAGAGGACTGGTTTCTGTAGCAATATTTCATGTTTCTAAATTGGAGAAAAATAAAATAAAAATGAAGGATTAGAAATCCCACTGGTTAAAAGTAACAGGAATCTTTAATGAGGATCTGCAAACAAGCTTCCTGATTGTTTGTTTATACAACTGCATGAAGAAACCAGTTTTAAAGATAAAATCAACATTGGAGTAGAAAAGAGATTTGCATTTTGCCTGCAGACACAGTTTACTCATGAGGAGAGCTCTGTCCTATTAGCAAGTTTGCTAACCTGCCCCCTCTACTGGTACAGAAGTTAGGAGTTGACCAGATCAAATCACTGCCTTTATAAATGACCAAAGGCAGCAAAGAGTTTGAATACCTGGCAAGCCCTTCACCTGCCAGTGCATCCCGCCTTGCTGCCCCTGGGTTCTACATAGTCTCTGTAGTACCTGGTGAGAAGGACGGCCACATCATGATGAACGGGATTAAGGTCGCTCTTGGGATTGATGCTCTTCTGCCATTTGCAGAAGCTAGACAGTGTCTTCTCTGCATGATGAACTATTTTCAGTCCTTGCTGGTGAAAGAAGAGGAAGAGATTAGCATGGGTGAGCTCACCACAGTCAGAGACCTTTGCATCAGGCATTAGTCTACAGAGGTGTTCCAATGAGATGAGCTCAGGATAGGTGCATCAGATATTTGTCAGGAATTTGGTAGAGGCCAACTTACTCCTCAAGATTATCCCTCTGCTCCAAACACTATCACTCTTATGACTTCCACTTATGAAGGGCAGGATTCCAGAACAGACATTACCACTGGAACAGGCAGTCTTTGAATACAAATTAAAAATAAATTAGCAAAGACCAACAGCTGTTTGAAGTTCTATTTATAGTGGCTCTCTGCATCCTAAACCAGTACAATTTTGAAAAGCCATTTATATACCCAATGCAGAATAGATTGTCAACACAAAGCTGCTTCTTCTTATGAGATATCCTGTGAGGCTTGGGTTATATCGGGTGCTTTTTTTACCCATGGTTTTCATCTTGGTTTGACACCTGTAGGTTAAAGACAGAGAGTTACATAATCTCTCCAGGCTTCTGATCAATTAGGAGAATTGGTCATCTGATGATTAGGATGCTGTAGCAGATTCCTCCAGACTGCAGTTTCAAGGGCTTCTGAGGCCCAGCCCAGCCCTGAGTCATCTATCTGGCCTGGCCCCTACCTATTACTGGGGACAAGAGGGAAGGGATTATTCCAAATTCTCTGGATGTACACTTGTCAAATGAGGGAATACAATAAAGGAATAATCAGCTCTAGAGGGACTCCTCTAATTAATGTGAACTTCCAAAGGAGAAATTCCATTCCCCTGCCCAACATTTCTTTGGGGCCTCCACTTAAAGCTGTCCTTGGTACAGGATGTATTTTATCAAAAGGACTACCCCCACTTGCTCACTCTCATCTGAGATTTGCTGTGGGCTCAGATGCCAAGAATTTCAGGACAGTCTTTGCATCAAATTATGAGTTCACTTTTCTATATTCTGTATTTTACTAAGGCCCACACCCAAATCACATAAAGCCTGAGGAGCTCCAGCTGCCTGTTAGAGGTATTCCCAGGTCTCCTTATCATGCTCATTAAATATCACAGACCTCCTTTCATGAAAACACAGAAAGGTGGTTTATCATGCATGAAAATTCACTGAACTGCTTAGCATAAAGAATCTGAATAGAAGAAACAAACTTTACTATTTACATCGTTACATCATCTAGCAAAATGATTTATGGTGGTAGAGGACAAGGAATTCTGGGATATGGGCTGGGCATGAGGGTGTCAGCCTCCAATTTAACTAGCCAAACTGTAATTAGACTAGTGGCCCTCCCTAGATGGGAACAAATATCCCCACCCATCATAAAGGACCCGCCAGGTGGCACGAATCAGGAATAAAGGGAAGAATAAGGAAGGAAGGGAAGAAAAGAGTAGGAAAGAAAAGAAAGGGAGTGAGGGAGAAAGAAAAAGAAAGGAGGAAAGAAAAAACAGAAACTTTTTTGATTACTTACTATATTACAGATATGTTTCCATATGCAATTTTATTTAGTTGCATCTACTCAGCATTATTTGTTAAAAAAAAGATTTTTATGTTTATTTTATAGTAAGAGAAATTAAAACTCAGAGAAGCGAAGAACTAGCTAAGGTCATTCAGCTCAAATATTGAACCAAAGAATATGATAACAAAAGTTCCTGGATGAAACTTGTATTTGACCACCAACCTCACTGAGACGGTGCCTCAGTTCTAGCTCCTTCAGACAGAAAGGCAGATTATCAAATAAAACATCAACTATGATCAGATATTTTTGAGGTCTGATGATGATGAAATAACGAACCTGAAAACTTATCAAACAATATAGAGCCCCAAGAGTGCCTAGCATGGTTCTAAAACACCTGTGGCTACTTAAGAAATACAACACTCATTAAACCAAAGACTTCTAAAGATAGTTAGATAATTAGAGACCTATGTATCCTCCATCTTCTAAAAATAATTAGATAACTAAGGGTCTCAGCAGCTCTCAACCACATTCTCCTGACAGCTGTCATTTGAACTTGAGTGGAATTTGGCAACAGCTAAAAAGTCACTCTTATTAATTAGGCTACCAGAGGCAAGATAGGAAAGCTCAAAGGGAGATCTTTAGAAATCATTAAGATTCTAGAGGGCCTTTGAAAGACTTTTCTCAATTTAACTTCACCATGCTACTGTACCTATCTCCAGTATCTTTCCATCCCAAGATTTATTTTACTGTGTGCAAGATACTAGGAAGCAAGCATGACAAACCCTCACTCCAGGGACTCAGAAGTAAATGACACAGATGCTCCTTGACTTACCAGGGTTTACATCCTGATAAACCCATCATAAATATATCTTTAAGTCAAAAACGCATGGGATACACCTGAGCTACCAAACATCATAGCTTAGCCTAGCCTATTTTAAATGTGTTCAGAACATTTATATTAGCCTACAGTTGGGCAAAATTATCTAACACAAAACCTATTTTGTAATAAAGTGTTAAATAGCTCATGTAATTTATCAAATGATATACTAAAAGTGAAAACCAGAAAGGTTGCATGGGTACTTGAAATGTGATTTCTATTGAATCAATTGCTTTTGCAAGTGGAAAAATCATAAGTGGTACCCATCATAAGGAGACATCTGAACTTAAGTTCTGAGAATTAGTGGGACATCTGTCATAGTTTTTAAAAGAGGCCCTGGCATCTATTTTAGCTTAGGGGTCTGTTCTTTGGTGACTGATTTACATCACAGTTATAATTGCCCTGGGGGATTCTGAGAAAGTACCTATTTTGTTTGTTTCTCCTCTTTACCCTGCAAGTCAGTACCACTTATCAGACTTGCAACTTTCCCACTGATTACACAAGAAAGTTCAGGGACAAATGTCTTGATTCAACTCAAGTTTTCAGTTTCTGTGTTTTATGAGAGGAGCTGTGAACAGTAAGTGGAGCCAGACCAGAATAAAAGGTGTTTAGACCAAAACAACAATGAAGCATGCATTTTAATAAAAAGACATAAAGTAAATTAAAGAATAGGAGTTTGCATTAGTTTGATAACAGAGAAACAATGGTCCCGATGTAATTAATACAGTTTGTTGATGGACATAAGTTTTTTAGTGAATAAAATTGAACATGTCCTACATTCAGAGAATCACAATGCTTTACAGTCCTTCCTGGATTATTATGAGTATTTCTAAAACTCTTTTTCATAAAAGAATAATCTTTCTTTCTCCAGTCTTTTTCCTGTTGTCTGTCACAATATTTTCTTTTCTTAGCTCCAGTGACCACATTATCCAGTTTCCTAAATCTTCTGACTACATTTGACATTGCCCATGAGGCTGGGGAAACTCTTATTCAAATCAATCTCAACCAGTGAAACTTTCCACAATGAATCATGTACCAATGGGCAAAATCCTGGCATCACATTGAATATGCAATTAGTGCTATTGTGTGTGATGGTGTAAATATCATGACTGAGAATAAAGTTCATTTGATTTTATAATCCATCACTATATCTGCATTCTATAATATAGTAGATCAGTAGAATTCTTACTTAAATGAATATTGCATTTATTCTGCCTTTTTTTTTTTTTTTTGAGTTAGAGTCTCACTCTCTCGCCCAGACTGAAGTACAGTGGCACACTCCCACAGCCTCGACCTCCTGGGCTCCGGTGATCCTTCTGCCTCAGCCTTCCAAGGAGCTGGAACTACAGGCGTGCGCTACCATGCCCGGCTAAATTTTTTTTTTTTTTATTGTAGAGATGAAGTCTCACCAAGTTGTTCAGGTGAGTCTAGGGCTCAGGCAATCCACTCACCTCAGCCTCCGAAAGTGCTGGGATTACAGACTGAGCCACCAAGCCCGGCCTAGTCCGCCTTTCTTGAATACATGACCTGAAGGTCAGAAGATGCTTTTCATATTAAAAGAGAGGCAAAAGTCTTAGATTAAGAAATCTGTAGTGAAAAATTCAAATGCAGATGATAAAGCATTATTTGTTCTTGGAAAAATAAATAAATAGTGCTGAAGCAAACGAACATCCATAGGCAAAAAAAAAAAAAAAAAAGACCAAAAAAAACCCTTACAATTTAAACCTCACATTTTATACAAAAGTTAACTCAAAATAGATCATAATCTTAAATGCAAAATGTAAAACTATAAAATTTCTTGAAAAAAAATCACAGGAGAAAATCTTGGGAACTGAGGTCTAGGGAAAGCATTTATAGACTTGACACTAATAACGCAATCCATAAAAGGAAAAAACTGATAAATTGGATCACATCAAAGTTAAAAACTTTTGCTCTGAGAGAAACCCTGCAAAGAGGATGAAAAGGTGAGCTACACATTGGGAGAATAGACTTGTAAGCTATATATTTGGCAAAAAGATTTATATCTAGGATAAAGAACTCTCAAAACTCAACAGTTAAAAAAACAAGAAAACAGACAAAAGCCATGATGAGACACTTCACTGAGGAGGATATACAAATAGCAAATAAGCACATGAAACAAAGTTTAACATCATTAGCTACAGGGAATTGCAGATTAAACCCACAATGAGATATTTCTATATGCTTATCAGAATGACTAAAATAAAAGGTAGTGACAGCACCCAAATGCTGGTGAGGATGTGGTAAAACTAGATTATTTATATATTTCTGGTGAAAATGGTACAGCCATTATGATAAACAGTTTAGTAGTTTCTTTGAAAACTACATGGGCAACAACCATACAACTTAGCAATTGCATTCCTATCCATTAATTGTAAAGAAACAAAGTCATATTCACACAAAACTTGCAGTGGTTTTATTCATAACTGTTAAAACTAGAAATGACCCAAATGTACCTCAGTGGGTGAATGGTTAACATCTACGGAATACTATTCAGCAAAAAAGGGAGCACACTCTTGATACACACAACAATTTGGATAGATCTCAAGGGAATTATGCTGAATGGAAAAAATTCTAATCTCAAAAGTCTACATCTTGTTTTGTTCTATTTATATAACATTTTTCAAATATCAAAATTA